TCGCACAAGACGAGCGAGGTTGCGGGCTGTTGGATGACCCGCTGCTTTGTGGAAGTGGGCCAGACGGGCCTTCCACTTTTTCAGCTCATCCGAGGTTGGAGACAAGGAAGTAGAGCTGGATGTGGCACCACCTTCGGGTAGAAGTTCTTGTCCCGCTGGTTGTTCTTGGAGAGCAGGTAGTGCTTGAAGCGCAGCGCGCTCCATGTTGATCTCGTCCTCAATCGGGATCATGTAGGGCTTGTCCTCCTTGGCAAAGATGAGCTGCATGTTGCGGTCGGAGACATACTCTTGACGCCATGCCAGGGCCATCGATTTGACCATGCGCCAAGGATAGTAGGAGCTCTTTGACGTCTCAGCTCCCTGAATCCAGGCATGTCGGTGACTGCCAGGACATACCTTAGCTCTGAAGCGCTGGTGGAAGAAGGAGCTGGTTGTCCGAATCATCCATCGCTTCCGGAGGAAGTCGCCAGCACCATCATCAGCACGGAGACCATAGTTGCACCCATCAACACGGCATGGAAGCCATTCACGACCACGAGCTTGAAGGAGGTGAGCAATGTGTTCCAAAGGTCGTTGATTCCATCCTTCACAAGGCCAGGGCCATTCCCAGTAGATGTCGGTCTCGGGGTCCTCGTTGAGGGTGTCTTCAATGAAGTGAGCTGCTTGCCATAGCATGCGTCGCTCCCGACGGCGATATGTGGCCAGCAGTTCTTGACGCTCCTCTGTGGCATAGTTGAGCTTGGACCATTGGCACCACTTGGTGCAGGGAAGACTGAACCACAGTCGCCGGGGACGATGACGGCGTCGAAGACCTTTCAAATGCTCCCAGGTTGCCGTCTTATAGACGTCATAGCCCTGCTGGAGGTTGATCCGGCGAGGTCGAAGACCTTGTTGGTCACAAGCTTCACTGAGCCACGAGTGAGGTGCGCAGGCAATCTCCCAGATGCCATCCTGCTCATCGAGGACGAAGTCCATAGTTGTTGATGCCATAGAGCTCAACAGCGTTGTAGCCATCAGCAGCATCTTCGCGGCCATAGAGCTCTTCAAGGGCATAGTGGAAGGGGTCGATGAAGTCATGCATCCTCCTCGTAGGCCTGAGCCAGACCGGTCATGGCAGCCAGTTCTTGCTCTTCCATCACGGCCTTGCGTTCCTCGAGGAGCTGCATGAGCTGTTCCATCTCCTTGGGGTTCAGCAGCTGCTTGACATCCTTCTCGAAGTGGTCGGTCGGAGGAGGAGTGCAAATCTCCCATGAGGAAGGACTGGATGTCTGACCCTTGGTCTTGTTCCTCGAGGTCGGAGTCGCCGGCGAGGTGGAAGGATACCCGGAGCTTTTCACCACGGCCTTGCCCGTCTGCTCCGGCGTGTTGCGCTCCCCTTGGATCTTGGAGATCTGGCGGTGCACGAGGTCCTCCAGGACAATGTCCGCATCCACCTTCTTCTGCATGGCGTGGACGATCTCGGCCGATGGACGTTCCGAGTTCATCAAAACTTTCAGCTCGTCCAGCATCCGTTGAACCAAGGGTGGAGCATCGGTCTTGGTGTTCTGGCCATGGGAGCCCTTGCGAGGGACATACATCCAGCGGATGTTGCACACCTGGCAGTGTTGCCATTGACCGTGAGGGTTCGCTCGCACTGAGCCCAGGTGATGTTCTCCGTAGCATGGCCACTGTTCCGGACTCATCCGAGGATCTCTTGGATCCGGACCGACTCCTCGAGGAGGATCGAAGGGCCGAGGTGGCTCCTTCTCGCGGCTGCCGGTGATCTTCTCCCTGAAGTCCGCGGCTGCCGTCTTGATGTCCCAGATCTTGTTCCCCTGCTCTTCGGTCAGCTGGCTGCCCTTGCTCCGGGACATGGCAAGAGTGGTCCGGGGAAATCGAATTGGGCGTCGGGCTTCCAGCCACGTGCATTTGAGCAGCTGAGAGCTGAAGACGGCGGCCACAAACATAAGCATGTAGTGTCATCAACTGTTGACGTGACTGTCGGAGTCGTGCTTCCTCATGTTCATGAACAACTCGCGCATGTTCTTGGGAAAGAAGTTCCAAGGGCATGAACTGAAGTGTGTGGTGGTCGTTGATCATGTTGGAGGTGTCTTTCTCAATCACATGGATGTGGGGATGTCCGTCATGACATGTAAAACCACGGGTGAGGAAAAAGGCGATGTCCAACATGTAGTGACCCTTTTTGTTCTTTTCCAACTGGTAAATCTCTGGATGGGCCTCATGAGAATCCAAAGCAAAACCTGTTGCAAAGTCAACCATCATGGACGAATGGGGACCTGCCAAATGGTTCATGCCGATCAGGATGGGGGCCAGCTGCGACCGATCGAACGAAGGATCGTGAAGACCTGGTGGATTTGGTAGTGCATAAAGTTCAAAACAATGAGGCTTTCCAGAAACAGCCGAGGTCAACGAAACACGATAAAGCGCTTGTCCCCATTTGCCGTTCCCGAACCTGAAGTAGGGCCGATCTTCTTTGTGAATCGAAACCACGGCCTGTCGGTCACGGTCAACGATCGTTGAGATCAGTTGCTCAACTGCAATCTGAGGGCCAGCGGAAGCTGTAGCCCCGCAATCCAGGAGACCATGTGTCTCAGGTGGAGAAACTGTGCGCTCAGTCTCATTGATCTGAGCCTGCAAATCTAAGGCGCCGAAGAGCATCTCAGTGTTGTAGGCATTGACGGAAGGTCGTCCCATTGGGGCATTGGACTTGCCCTTCCCTTTCTTGCCTTTTGTCCAGGCTTGAGCTTCAAGCCAATGGACATTCTTTCCCTTCTTGCCACCACCCTTCTTGCCCGTGAAGAAGTCGTCGTACGAGTACGGGTCATACTCAGTCATGTAGTTCCATTTGCTCTTGCCTTTTCCCTTATAGGGACCAGGGTGTTGTCGGTCAGGGCATTCTCGAGAAAGATGAGGGCCTCCACATTGGAAGCAGGGACCACGACCTTTGCCCATGCCACCTGATGGAAGTTGTTGTCCAAAACCACGATCTTTGCGAAGCGCGGCGGTCGCTCGTTGAGCTTCAGCCCAAGAACGTTGAGCTTCCACAGCCAGAGATTCGGCCATGCGCTCAGCTTTCTGCGCTTCTTTCAAATCCTCATCATTCTCCTCCGGGGTGGTGTTCTTGTCCTCGTAGGCCTCCACGTTGTAGGCGTCAGCCCAATCCCATGAAGACCAATCTTCTTGTCCCCAGTCACCGGAGACATGAAATGAGTCCCAAGTGGCAGAGTGCCACTCAGCTTCAGGTTCCTCCTCCTCAACAGTGGCCAATTCGTGCCAGTTGGAGTTGAAGAGGGTTGGATGTGATGAGCGGCTGCCAGTGAACTGCTCGTCCCATAGGGTCTGCAGTGCCCTGTTCACCTCATCGAAGTCGAGGGATCCGTGGGTCGCCGACAAAATGTCTCGGCGTTAATCAGCACTCAAACCTGCGGCTTGAAGAAGGCGAAATCCTCTCAAGACTCCAAGGACGAAGGAGTCTGCAAAACTAAGCTCGTTGAGCTCATCGCCAGCCAGTGATGGCTGCACACCAGCCGATCGTCGGCTAGGTGAAGACATCGTGCCTTGAAGTACACGTTGATATCCGCCACCATGGGGCGAGCCACTTTCCGCTCGTGACGTAGACACCGGCAATGTCGTAGTGGGTTGAGCCAAGTTGGGATCGAAGTCACCATCCTCGGGGTCAGGAACGTTCTCATCGTCCTGCGGCCACTCAGCCCAATCATTCCACCATGCATCCCAGCCGGAGTCATAGTCCTGCTCATAATCAGCCTCCTCAGCAGGAAGGCCAAAGTCTTTGTCCTCTTGTCGAATGCCACGCTTCTCCTCAGCCAGGCGCACCAAAGCCTCAACAAACTCAGAGAAGCCAAGTGCTTCCCTGACCAGGAACTGGGTCATAGGCTCGTGAGCCTTACGAGCAAAGCTGAAGTACTGATTGCAAATTGCCGAGGCGTTGGGGATGCTCTGGCGCACCAACGGAGAAGCAGCCAGGCGCTGCAGCAGAACCTTAGTGCCCCCATAGTCGTCCAGCGACATGTCACTCCAGCTCATAGCCAGCAGCCTCGCCGGGCCGGTGAGGCGTGAGAGAAGCTTGGTGGCAACATAGCGGCGCTTTGCCACCGGTGTAGCTCGGAAAAACCAGGAAACTTCCCGTGTGTATTTACGCCACGTTCGTGGCGACCCATCCCACGATGGGATAGAGAAGTTGCCATCTTCTTTGGACATGCTCGGGGCCGAAAACCAACTCAAAGGAAAAATGATAGAGGGGCTTGCCAAGGTCCAGCCGCCAAGTCCGCGCGAGGACAATCTTCAGGATGTAGGGCGGGCGTAGATCCAAGGCGCTGGAGCTTGCGCTCCGCTACCATGTAGCGGGAGCGCAGCGGTAGCGAAAACAAAGGGCTCGAAGAAACCACGTCGATCGAAAGGCAGCCGGTGCCTATGGCTCTCTTTTCTAAGACCGCTGAGGTCTGGCTTCAAAAAGGGGCCCCTGAGCATGAAAAGCCACGGTGGAAAAGTGGCATCTTTACATGGATGCTCGATGCACGTGTTGCACATTCCCAAGTCCTTCTTCTACTTGTGTTTCAAGGACATCCAGGATAGCACAAACGGTTCAAAGTAACGTGTGAGGGCACCTCAGTTGTGATATGAATCAAAAAGCACACAAAATATAGCGAGCAGCATATTTCCTCAGGAAGGATTCTCCTCGGCTTGGGGTCTCCCCGGCAAAGGCTTGGGCAAAAACGCTTCAGTCTCGAGTAAACCAAGCCAACCGTGCTAGCAGCTACGCGGCGTCTACATTACATGGCCTACATGGCTACATGACATTATATACATGACCATTTCAACAAGCTGGAAGGCGCCTGCGTGCAGTCATGGTATGTCAGGGCCATGTGAACTATGGTCAAAACTCAGTATATTTGGTATGGTCATCCCATCCCTTATAATGATGGTCATTATAAATCCCCATTATCCAATGGATGACCATCCCCTAGTAATGTTTGATAATCCCTAGTTTTGACCATGGCTCATGTAACATCCAACCCAAAAAACACATCTTCTCTGATGCCAAACTGTCGAAGCTTGACTGATGAAACTTAATATCCCATGTATTGATTGATGTGAGACGTTGAAGTGTGCCAACATTGCATATACAACCTGGAGGGAACATGTTGGTCCGATGGCCTCATTAACCAATCCACCCTGGCATTCTTGTCCCCAGCGCGGATGGCCTGTCAAACAGCAATAGAATAGAACCGCACACTTTGTGAGAGTTTAGCCTGTTAATTGAATGAGTTTGTTCTGGGCATGTTGCTTGTGTCTGGCATGATTGACAACAACTTCCTGCGCCTCAAGAGGCTTGTTTAGCTTTCATGCTTTCCAAGGCCTATATGATGTTCAGTCCCCAACTCTCTGGCCTCTTCGGCATCATCATCATCATCATCCTACGGACTGTGAGAACATGCAGCCACCACTCCTCAGGCTCCTTTATGTTCCTATTGTTGCCGCTCGCTGCTGCTTCTACTGCTGCTCCCTCTGTATTGCTGCTGCTGCTGCTTCTTCGTTTCAAGTTTTGACATCCGGTTTACTACCAAAGGTTCAAAGCTTCCACTTGTAGTGCACTTCCACTCACTCCCTGTACCAAGCACTTCAAAAGCACCAACATCAATTCCTGGCACTGGCAAACACCCTGCCCACCTACAACACCTTTGAGAGCCACCACAACTACAGCACATCGCACAAAAAACTTCGGTCTACAATGTGCATACGGGCATATTTGACCACAGCATGTTGCCATTGCAAATCAGCTTGCATTGATAACGGAAAACATGCAGCTCTTCAATGTCGAGGCTGCGTGCAACGAGACAATATTCACGGTTTTACTTCGTGGACGGACCGCAACAAGGGTTTAGCACCCGTGCCTCATCGCCAAAGCCGGCCTCCGCTGACAATTCAGCGCCCAAGCCGTTTGAGTTGAAACTAGTCACTAGTCCAAGCATGATGGCCAAATGATTCAAGCAATGACGGAACGATTTGCACAGTCGGTTCTAGACAGAATTTGCGACAGCATTAGAGTTGTGTGCCCTGCCTGATGTGCACCAATTTTGATGTTTTGGTCTTGATTAAACTTAAAGAATATTGAGTTAATTAGTATATATTTGATGGTATTATTTGTACACTCAGAATAACAAAGAATACAGTACCGGATCGAGCTGGACCTCAGCGGCGGACAGGGCTACAGGGGGACACCTGTTGGTAGTCTCTCTACTTCATTGTCCTTGCAAGTGGTAAAAGAAGGTGGGGACACGAAACGAACTGTAAAAAAATGCAACGCAAAGCAACCAAATGAAAAAGTTATATACGTTCCGCTTGGAAACTGAGATTTGTTACGTCCTATAAACAATGACTTATAGGACCGGATAACCCCACATGTCAACAACTTCACCAGGAGCGGACAATTGGTGGTTGATGGGTGACAATTGGTTGGTGGCGGTTTGTTGGTGGCAGTTGGTTGGTGGCAGTTTGTGGGTGGAAGTTTGTTGGTGGCAATTGGTTGGTGGTAATTGGTTGGTGGAAGTTTGTTGGTGGCAATTGGTTGGTGGCAATTGGTTCGTGGCAGTTGGAGCGGTGGCAGTTTGTTGGTGGCAAGTGGTTGGTGACAATTGGTTGGTGGCAATTGGTTGGTGGAAGTTGGTTGCTGGCAATTGGTTGGTGGCAATTGGTTGGTGGCAATTGGTTGGTGGCA